TGTTTCGCCTCCTATGTGCAATCTGAGTCAATTAGCTACATACATTATTTATGTGATGTTTTTCAAGCAACAAAGGACAAAAAGAGAAATGAAGAAAATGTAGAGATGCAAGGTATGCAGTGATCAATTATAGAAATCTACTTCCAGAGATATATACTGATCAAACAGATTTCACACACAGAAACAGGCATAACCTGCTGAATTCATTTCTGAACTACTTGAGATCAGGTATTAGATGTATTAGACACCATCCATCTGAAGTTACTTGTCTTAAGATCAAGCTTTTATATACCTTACAAGGTTTTTAAAATTTTTTAATGAGTATTTTGCCTGCAAATAAGTGCACTAGTGTATGCAATGCTCATGGAGGCCAGAAGAGGGTGCTGGATCCCCTTGAACTGGAATTACAGGTAGCTGCTAGCTGACATGTGGGTGCTGGAAACTGAACACAGGACCTCTGCAAGAGCAGCCAGTACTCTTAACTACTGAGCCATGTCTACAGCCCATCTTACAGGTTTGAACATTATATAATACAATAATAGCAGTTAATGTTTTCGTTAGTTTAATATTTTATTTAGTAGCAGTGGAAACTTGAAATTACATGAACATATAAAGAAGTCCTTGTATATAAGGTGGGCTGAGTCTTCATTTCAATCTAATGCTCTTTACTAAAATTTCTGATTCCGTAGCCCACTCTGATGTGGCTCTGACAGCACCTAAAGATCTCATTTCATTGTTAAAACATCAATATGCTTAATTTTTAAATGTCTAGAGACACTTATTTTAAATCTATCACTGCATGCAGACATCACCTTTTAAAAATGTTTTGGCTTTTCCATTTTCCTTATTCACTTTCAAAATTTTACTCTAAAGTTTTCATACAAGTACACACCGTGCATCCTGGCCGTGTCCTGGCTGTGCTGCTGCTCCTCCCTCCCTTTAGTTCCCATAGGCAACTTCGATTCTGTTTCCATGTCACACACACATACATTGTTTTATGCATTTATATAAAATCTAGGAACCACAAATGAGAGAAAACATCCAGTATTTGCCCAAGGCTGGCCTTATGTGATAATACAATCCTCTCCACTTGCATTCACCTTCCTGCACATGACCTCTGTTTCTCTTTATGGCTGAAAAGACTCCATGTATAAACACGTTCTCTTCACCCATGCCTGTGTTAGTGGACACCTAGGTGGGCTTCTTAACTTCTCTATGGTGCTCAGCCCATTTTATTCTACCTCCATCCTGCTGTACAAACCAAAGCCTTCATCATTACCTGTCTTTCCTCCATTCACTTCCTCTTACCTTCCTGCGCCTAGCTGTACTGTCTTAAAGGACAGCACCCTCAGAACACAAATCCCTTCAGATACGTGTCTGATACTTGCTCTTTTAGCCACAGACTCAATTAAGCAGAAACTAGAAGCTTTGAAGGTTTTTTTTTTAATGAAACAAAATTAGCTTTGATATCTAAAAACATCAAACATGCATCAAAGCCTATTTACTTCTGAGAGCTTAACATAAATATCAAAATACAAAAAAAATTAAGATGTCTTAGGCTATTTGAGAAGGTAAGTTAATTCTTCTTTCATGGCTACTCTTGAACGAAGAGAAAATAACAACACACTCATTCAACCCGGCAAACACTCCAGTGGATTAGGCTGTATGACTTCTGCTACATGAAACAGAAAAGTGCAACTTTCTAGTATCACTAGTTATTCACAAGTCCTTTCCCCTTGCAATCATTTCAGGCTTTCTTAAAAATTCTGGAAAAAACAAGGAGACAGATAAAACTCTAGAATGACAATGCATATAATGTTAAGGAAATAGACAATGAAACAAACATCATAGTTCATGCAGTGAGAGAGAAAAGATGGAGGTTGCTGGCTGACAGACAGAAAGAGAATTGACCTGGGGGAGCTTGGAGTGTTCCCACTTTGTTCACGTAAGGCTTTGGCCATGGCTGGACTGTCTACAAGCTTCACACTTTTCTTTTCCTTCTTCGGTAGCGTATCCAGGGGCAGATTCGTAGGAGAAGAGAGACTGGTTATAAGCACGTCTGAAGAAACTGTTTTGTCCCACTGTAAATTGTTTTCTTTTAAATTATTAACACAGGACTCTTTCTGAAGTGGGAGTCTAGAAACTTCTTCCCCAACAGCGCTGGCAGCACATGTTTCTTTCGGGGTGGTTATATCCAAAGGTAGCACCTCACATCTCTTTTTGAGTACAGGTACTTCCGTTTTCTCTAAGAAAAAAAAAATTAAAAAAAAAAAACCCTCTAGTCAATGAATAAAAATGACACAACCCAAGAAACAGTAAGCTATATACATAACTCTTTGTTCTACTCTAAAGATACGTTTCCTTACTAAAATTAATTCTCATTTTTTAAATTTTCATATAAGTATTACTATATATTGGGCATATCATCCCCACACTCTAGCCGACTTTTCCCCAGCCATTCCCTTAGCTCCCTAGTCCCCTAGACAGCGTCTCTTCTACTTTTCTGTACATACTCTGAATCTGAGTACTTAGAGGATGACACCACCCCAATCCCAACCACATTATGCCTCCCCAGTGACACTGCAATAAACTTCTATCCTCATGGCCTAACATCATTCTATCCCCATGGCCTAACACCACTCTATCCCCACGGCCTAACACTACTCTATCCCCACAGCCTAACATCACTATCCTCATGGCCTAACATCATTCTATCCCCATGGCCTAACATCATTCTATCCCCACGGTCTAACACCACTGTATCCCCATGGCTTAACATCATTCTATCGCCACGGCCTAACACCACTCTATCCCCATGGCCTAACATTACTCTATCCCCACGGCCTAACATCACTAT